GTTCTAAATGGTGCGACTCGTTAACCCAGCGTCACCTGTATGTGACAGGTAATTTTTTTCCATTTATGGCAAATGCTTGGGTTAAATCGTGCCTGGGATAGATTTGTTGAATTTAAACAATGAAGCAGATTTGGTTTTATGGGATCCTAACCTCAACTAAAAGCCTTCTTTTTTGGGCTGTGGTGGCGGTGGTCCATCCTATCCTGAAACGTGAAGTGATAGAGCGCGTTCAAAAGGAGGTCGAAGGTTATGCCCAATCACGGTAGTTTCAAACATTAATGACTGCGACGCCTAGGATTACCGCACTCCTTTTCTGCTCCATAGCCTATCCGTATAACAGCATAGCCAATCATATGTCTGCTTCATAGGATTTCTTGCTACCCGATGTTTGGTTGAAGCTCTACTTAAACAGACATCAGTCTATCCTCAGGTCTATTGTCATCAACATTGTACCTACTTACGCCAAATCAAATCCAACGGGATGTCAAATGTCGTAATGTAGTCTGTGTATATCAATTTAATGGAGGTCAGGTGACGCAACTCATAGGATATTAATATCGACTTCATGCTATCCGGAGGAAAACTGATGTAATGCCACGCCCACTTAGATGGAATTCAGCATATTTTTGGGCAGCATACCTAATAATATGCCTACTTCTCTGGATTTCTTGCTGTCTGTTGGTTGAATGAAGCACTAAGTAGGTGGATTTCAGTCCATGTGCAGGACCATGCCGTCAATATTGTACCTACCTACACGGATTCAAGGCTAACAAAATGTCAAATATAACGTGTTTATGTTTATGCACATTTATATTGAGTTCATGCTAGACGGAAGTAGACTGATATATTGCCACGTCCACTTGGATGGAGTTCAGCCAATCCGCAGGGCAGCATCACTAAGTAGGTGTCACATTCTCCTGATTTCATGCCATCCGTGGAATGAAATGAGCTCTATTTAAGTAGACATCTGTCCATCCGAGGGTAGGTGTCATCATCGTATTATCCCTAATTATACGAACAAAGGGCCTAATTTCATCAAATAACGTGTTGTATTCTAAGCAAATATAACGGACGGAGGTCAAGTTACGCAACGCATAGGACATTATTATTGACTTCAGGCAAATCGGATGTCGACTGATACATTGTTTTGTCCACTTATCGAGAATTCAACAAATCTGTTCGGCAGCATACCCAATGGTATATCTGCCTCTCTCGATTTATTGGATCGGATGGTTGAAAGAGGCTCTACGTACAAAGATTTCAGTCTATCCGCAGGTTCATGGAATAGCAGCTTAAATAGATTTGAGCCTGTACGCAGGCCTGTGCTATCAACATTGCACCCGCTTATACGGATTCAAGGCTACATTGGTGTCGAATGACGAAGGTCGAGTGACGCAAATTACGGGTCACTTATTTGTATGGCAGCATAAGTGAGTTTGTCTGCCTATCGGATTTTTTTCAACGCGAAATTCGATATTAATATAACCTTGAATCCATGTTAATAGGTCTAAAATTAATGAGTTTGACCTGCTGATGCACGGAAATTCATTTAAGTAGAGAAGGATCCCTGCCACTAGGTCTGTTGTACTTTT